TAAATTATATGTTAAATTTAACACCTGCTCTCAATAAGCTTCATTGTCTGGGAGTAGAAAGAATAGTAGAACTACATGAGGATCAATACTAAGCACAGTATACAAAGAGTCATAGGAGAGGTGACATATCTTTCTGAAGAAAGGATAAGATTGAATCACATTGTAATCACCCATTGTATGGTCCCATTAGAGAAATGCATTGTAGTGCACGAGGATTTTGAGAGAGCTGGGAGTGGTGGATGTCATTCCAGATCCTTAGTCTGTGTCTGGTGGTGCTGTTGAGTGCCACTGCGTCCATTTTTGACTCACAGAAATGGCATAGGGGCCGTGTTTGACCTTCTCTGGTTACACAAAAGGGGCGGAGAATCCACATCAGCCCAAGGCCATTTGGCCCAAGGCAAAGGTCATATATGCCTCCACTCTTAACCCTTCTACACCCTATTCTCATACCAACCTCCACCCTCCTCCCCACCAGGGCTCACTTCCTCTGCTAGGTTCTGTCATCTGTCACCGTGTTTCCCCCGAAAATAAGACCTACTTATAGTTTTGCCTCTCACTGAAATGTAAGGCATCCCCCTGAAAATAAGACCTCCCCGAAAATAAGGCCTCCAAAGCTACCGTAACTCTGGATTCTGGACTGTAACCGGAGCAGACAGGAAGTGCGAGGTCTCTTTTATTAAAACAATAAACAATAAATGTGTACCGTACTCTTCTTCATAGAAAAATAAGATATCCCCTGAAAATAAGACCTAGCGCATCTTTAAGAGCAAAAATTAATATTAGACACTGTCTTGTTTTCAGGGAAACAGGGTACAAGGGGCGCACAGAACTAACAGATATGACTCATGATTATGTGGATTTATAGGGACGTTAACAGGCCACAAAGTGTTAAGGAGAGACTTCTTTGCTCTGCAGCACTTCTTCTCACTCATGCAGGTAGTCCTGGATCTCTACTCCTCTCAACCTCTCAGCCATGAAGTCGCTTGGCCTCCGTCCTGAGCAAGCAAGTGTTAAAAAGCCACTCTAGCCGCATTAAATACCTAAAGGGCACCGCACTCTGCAAGCCAGCCTCCTGCCTAACGGCTTTAACTTCTTTAACTTCCCAATCCACTCTGTCTCCAAGTCTCTGTGCCTCCAGTGCCTCTGCTGCCTCCACGGTTTCAAGCAACAAGCTGGCATGTGCTCCACTGGTGGTTTTCTTTCTTGATGGTCATGAGATTCCTCTTCTTGCTTCTGAAATGGCTCTCTTATACCCAAAAGACTGGCAAAATGAAACAAGCCGCTCCTTAGAGTCACTACACCTTATTTACACACTCTCATCCAGTCACTGGGTGAGAGTAATGAAGACTGTAATGGAAAAGCCATACCGAGTAATTCTACCTCACTGCACCGACTATAATTAATATCTTTAACCATTCCAGAGAAAAGTCTCTTAAATGAATTCCATACAATGAGGATGTATGAGAATCGCATGCAAATTCTGCAATGTCAGCCTACTGGGTCTATAAATTGATTTTTATAAGAATTAATTACATGGTTTTTAGGCATGCTTTTTAAGCTTTCTAATCTTAAGCTTTCTCATCTCTAAACTGGGGAGACTGTTATACCTCCTCGCTATTGCCATCAAGCCAGTGCTGACTCACAGCAGCCCTACAGGACAGGGTAGAGCTGCACCTGGGAGTTTTGGAGACTTTAATGGTTTATGGAAGTAGAAAGCCACATCTTTCTCCTTCTGACCCGTGGATTGCAGCCCAACTCATAACCACTAGGCCACCAGGGTTCCTGTGTACTATCCATTTTTTATTTAATTTTTAAATCAATTTATTGGGGCTCATACAATTCATCACAATACATAGATCAATTGTGTAAAGCACATCTATACATTTGTTGCCCTCGTTATTCCCAAAATTTGCTTTCCTCTTGGGTTCCCGGAATCAGCTCATTTTCCTTTTTTCCCCTCCCCCTCCCTTCCTCCTCCCCTCTCCCCCATGCACCCTTGATAATTTATAAACTGTTATTGTATATTATATTACACTGCCCGGTGTCTCCCTTCACCCACCCCTCTGCTGCCCGTCTCCCAGAGAGGAGGTTATATGTAGCTTTTGTGCATACTAAATAAGGAATTGTATGTAAAACACTGAACAAAATTCCAAACACATGACATAGGTTCACCAAATAATACATATAATCATAGTTGTTAGCATCAAATAAAATTTCCCCACTTTATTAAAAGATAACCACAAATATTTGACAAGCAAGTAATTAAATGAGAACAAGAATGAAAATAAATGATTTGAAATTCAATAGAAAATCATTTAAAAAGAAAAGACAGAAGAATTATGATGTAGTGGACCAGCAAGTTCAAGGTGTAGGGATCAGTAAGCATAGATGGGAAGAATGCTGGGAAGTGGACCAGCATCTGAAAGACTTTGAATTCCAGAATAATACACTTTCACTGGGAGAGTGGTGAAAGGGCTGAACAGGAAAGGAGTATGTTTGAGGTATTCCAAAAGACTTCATTTAACCCCACGTGCTAATGCAAAAAAGTGGAGGTTTGAATCTATTCAGAAGTGATTCACCAGAAAAGCCTGACAATTTACTCCCACAAGAAATTAACTATCCTCCAGAGCACAGTTCTACTGTGATATACATGGACTCACCCTGAGTCAGAATCTACTCAGTGGCAATTGGTGATCTAACACAAACATACCAGTAATTATGAAGTTGGCCCAAAGTGAAACAATGCTTCAGTCTGCAATACTTAAGGTCATTATGCATCATAGCTAAAGCCACTCCAACTAACAACCTACACATACACTGGACTTGAAGTTGGCTTTGCTCATCCGTGAGTCCCCTGCCTTCTTTGACCCCTCTGATCCATCTCTATCCACTAACTACCTACTCGTCTTTCAAAACCATTCCAAATGTTACCTTCTCTTTAAGTATTCCCCAGTCTCCACAATCAGAACTAATGTTTCCTTTCTCTGTGTGCCATGATAATATTAATCACAATGTATTACAGTTCATTGTAAAGACTTCTGTTTGTCTGTTATGTTGCACCAATCTGAGAGCAAAGATTTGGTCTTACTCACCTTGGAGACCTCAGCACCTGGACAAGAAACAAAGCCTGAATCGGGTCCCTTCATGATTTGGAAGTAGTGTGTAGATTATTGCAATAGTCCTGTTAAAACTCGGTTAGCTTTTAGGGATAGAGATCCACAAGATATTGCAAAGGTAAAATCTGCAGGTACACCATCCAAGAGAGTAGCCACCTGTCTCATGTGGTCATTGAGCATTTAAAAAGTCATTAATTTTTAAAAAATGTGTTGTCAATAGAAAACATACACTATATTTCAAAGATATTGAGTAAAAGTAAGGTATCTCATAAAATAATTTATTATATGTTGAAATAATATTTTGTTTATGCTTAGTTAAACATATTATTAAATCAGTTGGTTCTTTTTACCCTCTTAAATGTACCTATTATAAAGCATAAATCTACATATGTGATTGACATGATATTTTTATTAGACAGCTCTCATAAAAGAAAAAAGATTTGGAAATTAACTGCATGCTATACAGAGTGAATCACTGGGTGGCACAACGACTAAGTTGAGAGTTCAAGTCCATCCAAAAGCATTTTAGAAGATGACTTGGTAATCTGCTTCTGAAAATCCAGCTACTGAAAAGCCTACAGGGCACTCATATTTTGAAAAACATGGGGTCAACAGCAATTGTCTTGAGCTAGAGAAAGAAGAATCTAGAGTTCAGGTCAGTAGAAGAAGAGGGGCATGCTTTAAGATAAAGATAGCAAGTAAAGGTTTTCGTTGTCCCCCTGTCAAATTTGAGAAGCAGTGGGACTTGCCTAGCCTGGGCTCTCTACTGCACTGGCCTCACTTGGAGACTCGGCATAGAGCGCTGTGCCAGGGCCTAAGGAAGGCCCCAGACTAGGACATAACGGGGTTAGTTCTTTGCTTTCTCTTTGACAAAGCACATACGAAACAAAAATAAACATGTTCTAAATTGATAAACAGAATAACGAAACATATTCTTACTTGAAAGCCTGTACCTTTTGCATTCACAAAGCAATAATAGGGTCCACCCACGCTTTCAAAAGGCCACTAAGGAACGTGGATGAACATCAAGATCAGACGATCTCAATGCTGACACTGGGAGCCAAAAATCTGGAAGGGGCTGAGATGAGCCTCAGGGCAGAATATAATTAGTTTTATGGGCTCTGTAAAAACGATAAAAAGTGATGCGCCCTCTAGAACAAAATAGGACAAAGCAATAGGACGCAAAGGCAACTTACTGGAATGTGTGCCCCGAACCCCCGAACCCCACCTCTTTCTCTTCACTGGATGCCACTGACCAAGCCCAGAGACGATTTTGTTCTATAACCTCATAGAGGGGCAGGTGGGGTGCCACCAGGATGTCATGGTTCTAGCCTTTGACCTCTTTCCTTTGAAGAGTGTTTGAAGGAGGCTTTCGTTGTAATGATTATAAATTGAAAGAGGGAATTGAATCTATAAATTAGCCATGTAGGAGGAGGCCAAGATGATGACCAGATAGGTAGCTCACCCTGGAGCTCCGTGGAGACCGGTGAGTCTGGAGAGTTGGGGCCCAGCAGGGGCATGAAGGCTGTTGGCCAATCCTCTGGCCAGCTCAGAGCACCGCTCTGATCCAGAAGCGGACTGCAACCCCTTCACCTGCACTGCCTGCGGACTCCTGTGGGCTCAGGAAACACCAGCTGCTGCTTTGCCCTGCTCAGGTCCCCCGCTCCGCCTCAACTGGTGCCACGGGCCAGCCAGGCCTTGCCTCCGCGCTCTGTGCAGACCTGCCAGGTACTACCCCCGCCCCTAGAGGTGCCCGGCCCGCCTGGGTGCTCCTCTCAGACCTGCCAGCCAGCCCCCCGCCAAGAGGTGCCCCAGCACCACAGGCCAGCCAGGCCTTACCTCCGTTAACGTAAACAAACAAACAAAAACTGATTTCATAATCACCCTGGTAAAGAGAGGTTCTAAGCCATTTGGAGCAGTGATGGGGCGAAGTCTTCTCTTTCTCCATGTTTCAGCTCTATTTTCCTTTGTGAATTTTCCATCTGCGGGAGGAGGTGGAGGACTAGGCATCATATAACTGTTAATGTTTGGAAGTTGATACAGATGTGTTCCCTGCGAGTTGTCCGTGGAGCTGCTGAACTTCATCAGTGCCTTCTGGCCCTGTAAGCAAACATGACATAAGAGCCAATGGAACAGAAGCAATGGCCCAGCATCCCTGAAAACTAAAGCCAGTCCTCTATACCGGACAGCCGTGCATGCAAACACAACTGTTAGCAATGGGTAAACTGGAAACAGCGCTTTGATGGACTGAAACATAGCACACTATTGTGTCCACACCAATGTAAATGTTCGTTATTTTAGTGTATTTTTAAATTAAACCTACAGATATTGAGCCTTTTATAGTGCATTTAGGATTTTTTCACCCAACTGCTCAATCCATGGGAACCGCATTAAATCAAGCAGTGTCACATCAGGAAGTTTAAAGGGTTGTACTTTGAAGCTGCGCCAGGATAGCTCACCAAGCTGCACAGGCTTAGTATGCTTTTTGTTGTTGTTGTTGTTGTTTGTTTTAGTCTGATGTCATCTATCCAAGTATTAGATCATTCAGAGTGGCAACGCTGTGAACAAATTGCTAATCGTGTACACTAATTAGGGGAAATTATTGCAAGTTTTATGGATGGAAAATCGGAATGTTTATCATAGTTTTAAGGTACATCCCCTCTGACCCAGTAACTGTACAGGAGGAATAAAAACACTGTACTCCACGGGCAACTTGTCCAAACCATGAATAACTTCCCAAGCACATTGGGAATGTGCAAGGGTATGCATTTGTGTGTGTGTGTGCTCTTAATGCTTTAGTTGCCATTTTCCAGGGACCGTGCTTGGAGAGGGAGGGGCAGCTACAAAAGAAGGAAGCCCCCTCTGCGGTGGAGCGCCACACGACCATCCTTGCTCGTTAGGACGGCACAGGACCAACTGGAGGTGGCTCATTCTGTTGTGAGTCAGGACCAAACCGATGGCACTTAGCCGCGACACGTGGTTTGAATGTCTCATCAGCATGACTAAAGGCCAACAGAGGCATAATCAATAATCACATTACACTTTCAGTTATATTTTGCTGTTTGAATGAATCATTTTTATAAAGATAAATTTTTGTGTGCATCTAAAGTACTTTTACAAACATTAAAGCATCTTTGATCATATTTACCTGTTACTTGGAATTGGAACTTTATATAACCTGGAATTTATTTTATTTTTTAATATTTTAATTGCTATAGAAGAAAAAGATTGGTCGTAATTTTGTTTGAAAACAACATTTATGTAAGAGAGATTTAAATCATGTATACATGTTGGAATGGACGCTCTTCCAGGAGTTCTGATTCTCTTATGCTTTTCAACTTTTCTGTCTTAATGTACATAAAAGTGTGACAAGTGAAAATAATACAAATAGTAAAAACAATTACTCGAAGTCTTTTGGGGTTTGAGGGGATTTTTTCTTCTGATTTCTAAGTTTCACTTCCACTAAGCAGATTCCAACTCAGTGACCCTATAGGAAAGGCCTTGTAGGTTTCTGAGACTGTAACTCTCTAGGAGTAGAAAGTCTCATCTTTCTCGCTAAAAGTGGCTGGTAGTTCCAAACTGCTAATGTTGCACTTGTCAGCCCGATGTATAGCAAAGTTAATATCTTGTTGAAAATGGGTTAATAAAAAAGAAATATGGTATTATTTATCTTGCTTTTCAGCTCAAAGTGTCTGATACTTCTTTCCAATTCTACTTTTATTTTTTATTTTTAAATTTATTTAATATATTGTAGCATTTTACTATGATATACTAGATAGTTTTAGGTAATACTCTATTAATAGACACTTAAGTGTCTTCAAAGTTCTTGAGGTTTAAATTACTTAGTATTCATTGCTTTAAATACTACAGTATTAAACATTCTTAAATTTATTTCTTTAAACATTCAGTGTGTGTTCCTAGGATAAATTGCTCTGGTTAAAATGCTAGGACATATTCATTTAAAAGGTTTGTAAGTATTACCATATTACCTTTACCAATGGCTATACCAAAATACACTCTTACCATTTGTGTGTGATCAGTCTTCATGCTAAGGATTTTCATTTTCAATCATGTCATTATTTCTACTATCATTGCATCTTAATCAGCCTGTTTTTCACCGTTACTTTGCCTAACCCAAAGACTCTCGGTCCTGATACTCCTTGGCAAAGTGTGATATGCTTATGTCTGTTTTACCTTCAGCCACTTTCCATAAGCATATCTTGAATGCCTTAGGAACACAGTAATAGTTTGTTGGGTGTACACTATATTCTCAGCGATTATGCAGAATATTATTTTTCATTTTCTTTCTGGTTTTATATTAAATAATTATCACCATCCATGTCATTGAAGACAAATTCATCTTTTCTCTCAGATATTTGCTTATGTATATTACATTATTTTTTTAAGTTGCTGCCAAGTCAGCCAACTCACACCAACCCTATGGGACAGAGTGAAACTGCTCTGGTTCCCAGAGGTGCCCAAGGCTGCAGTCTTTATGGAAGCAGACCACCACATCTTCTGCCATGTTGCAGACGGTTGGTTCAAACTAGTGACCACTAGGTTAGCAAGTGAGCGCTCAGCTATTGCCCCACCACTGCACTTGCTTATACTGTGAACCCCAATGACCCCATAGAACAGAGTAAAACTGCTCTTTAGAGGTTTTGAGATTTAAAGCTTTTTGGAAGCATACAGCCTCATCTTTTGCCCATGAAGAAGCTGGCAAATTTGAACAGGTGGCTTTCATGCTAGCAGCCTACTGGTTGGCCCAGTACACAGTCAGGACTCATACCACGAGTTCTAATAATTGAACGATTTTTGTCTGAGCTGATAATTGAACTATCTTTAATGCCAATAGCAATGCCTAGTACATAGAAAGTGTCCAATAAGTATTTTTTCCTTTTAAGTGACTTTCACTAGTTAAAATTAACACAAAATTGGTCTTAAGCTTGTGTTATGAATCTTAATTCATATTGACTACAACTGTTTATCCTCAGTCATCCACATTCCAACAACTTGGAAATAGCTATTAAAAAGTCCTGCGTGCTAATAACAATTAGTACGAGAAAGAAGAAAATGTTCTAAAATTGATTGTGGTGATCATTGCACAACTCTTTTTAATTTGATTGAATTTGAATTGTATATTATGTGAACTATGTTAATAAAATGGGATTTTTAAAAGTCAGATAATAAATTTAATTAGTCAATCTACTCACTATTTTAGAGCATATTTGGGAAATAATAGCAAAAACAAAACAACCTCTTCCCCCAAAGCAGAAATTTAATATTATCTGATTGATATTGTTCAGATATCTAACAGCAAATATATCAAAGTTACTAGTTATGGGAATTTTATAAACAATATATAATCACCTCTGCAAAAGTGAAAGATATCCACTGAAGTATTATCTAAGAGGGAGCAAGGAAATCTCACTCACTGAACTGTGAATATTTCTAGTCCTAGAAGCAAAGTCAATTCAGAAAGATACAGAGAATTGCAGCCAAAGGCCTTTGAGCTTCCTGGTACCCTTGTAAGCCTACTCCTTGGATAAGACGGGTGTAACAGCCCCTGTGAGCTTGACATTGCTAACATTCCATTCCATAACATCTCTTCATTCTGATTCCACGATCACCAAGCAACCTTCATTGTGATAAGGCTTCCCATGTATTTCTGTCTACGGAGGAACATATTCTGCTTCTACATGCTTTGGCCCTTTGATAATGCTTGGTAAATAATAGAATGACTTGATTTTTATTTGGTTCCCTATTTTGGATTACTGCAAGGGAGAAATTGTCATGAGAATTATTTTAGATAGTCTCTAATTATTTTAGCGAATTATTTAGATAGACAATCTATCAGGTTGGACCTCTCATGCCTGCACATCGAATGAAATGAGAAATCTCTGGTCCCAAAATGAAGACTATATCCTAGAGTGTGTCAACCTAACTGGCTTACAACGCAACATGTTCCAAATTCATTCTGAGCAGTCCCTCCCACACAAAACTCTACCACTTTCAATGAATTTCTCCTGATTTCTGAGAAACATTAAATGAACTCCCAATAAGGCTTTTGAAAAGTGTTTTACAGTTGACAAGCAAATTAAATGAATTAAAATCTTAATTTCAAGAATTATATTTATACTTTTTTACTGTCAAATAATTTACTTGTCTGAATTAATTTTTAGTGTAAACTTTATCTGTCAGTTAAAGATAAAAACATGCTTATTTCATATAGCTTGTCCTTCCTAAAAAGGAATGGAATGAAATTCACCTATTTGAACTTAATGACAATGTTACTCACAACTTTGTATTTTCTTAAGCAATTTCGTCATGTTAGAAGTACAAGCAAAGCGCTCTTTAATTAATGAGTCTTAATGATTCTTCCTTGTTTATATAAATCATATTTTATGGTTACCACCTCTTTTTCCTGTGCCTTATCAAACTAAATTAAAATTATATCAGACAAAGCCTTGGAAGATGAGTAGAGCAGTGTTGTTAACTCTTTGTTAAACTAAATCCATTTTAAAGGAAGGACATTCTTTTCCTCCTATATTTAACCTTCTCAAAAGTCAAAATTGATGCAATTTCATATACTGGCAGGAAAGTAAGTTGCCATGCAAATACCAGATTGTTTGTGGCTAGTATTGTTTTCTTTTTTTTTTTTTTTAATCGTTTTATTAGGGGCTCATACAACTCTTATCACAATCCACACATACATCAATTGTGTAAAGCACATTTGTCCATTCATTGGCCTCATCATTCTCAAAACATTTGCTCTCCACCTAAGCCCCTGGCATCAGCTCCTCATTTTTCTCCTCCCTCCCCACTACCCCCTCCCTCATGAACCCTTGATAATTTATAAATTATTATTTTGTCATATCTTGCCCTATCCGATGTCTCCCTTCACCCACTTTTCTGTTGTCTGTCCCCCAGGGAGGAGGTCACATGTAGATCCTTGTCATCGGTTCCCCCTTTCCAACCCACCCTCCCAGTATAGCCAGTCATACCATTGGTCCTGAAGGGATCACCTGCCCTGGATTCCCTGTGTTTCCAGTTCCTATCTGTACCAGTGTACATGAAAACAGCCAACATGAGGCCTTCTGATAAAAGTCATATCTGGATATAAAAATCTTCTTTCCAAGAAGGAAAAGTATGTTTGGAAACTGATTATGGAAGCAATTGTACAATTCTCTTGATGTGATTGAACCATGGAATTATATATGTATTAACTCCCAATTAAAATTGGAATTAAACTCCCAATTAAAAATGGAATGACAAGATAGGTATGAACTCCCAATTAATAATAAATTTTAAAAATACTGAAAATAGAAACTTAGGTCCAAGAATGGATTTGTGGCCCCCATTAAATCCTAGTTCCAATTAGTTCTTACCTCAAGGCCCGGCTCGATACTCGCCCTCAGGGAGGGAACACAGAAGATACAGGTGTTCTATCAAAAAGCGGCAAAGAAATTAGATGGTGCCTGGCTATCAGATAAAATAGCATCTGGGTCTTAAAGGCTTGTCTCCAAACAAGAAGTCATCTAAGTTAAATGTCAGCTAAGTCCCCATGGAAGAAGCCCACCATCATCAGTCACCAAAGGCGTGTATATATAACCCAATGCCAAGGGAGGGATCAGTATCAGCCTAAGTCATGAGAACCCAGTCTGCGGAAGGCTATGCATGGACAGTGAGAGCCCAAGATTCCTTTGTGGAAAATACATAGAAAATAAGGCTCTGGTGAACCCCCTCTATTCACAACTAAGAGATGGGAGGAAAGTGGGTCCTTAACGGAGTGCATTGGAGAGATGAGGATAGAAGATCAAAGGCACACATCTGACTTGAACGGTTAAAACTCTGTCAGTTGATCTCCCTTCTGATGCATGCTGGTCCTGATCTGATTTTCAACATGTTCTGTTTTTGTTTTTTGTTTTTTTGCTCAGGTTAATTTGTATCTCAGAGGTGTTATGTCATTGGAGGTTATCCTCATAAAATCATGTTATGTATTTTTCTGTGTTTTGGTATAGGAAACCCAGGATTGATGAACCTATAGCGACAGCAAGTAGAATAAGGGTTTCACAGGGGGTGAGGTCAAAGGGAGATGATGTCATGGAGTCCAGGAAGAAAAGAGTGTTTGAAAACTGATTGTGATAACAATTGTACAATTCTTCTTGACATGATAGAACTATGGAATGATATGCTATATGTATTAATTCCCAAATAATAATAATTTTAAAAATATTTTTAAATGTTTTAATGTCTCTCAAAGCAATGAGCTATCACTTTACCTTATTACAAATCCATGCCTTAAGCTCCTTGCTCAGCAACATAAAGAGGATAGGATACTCAGTCAGGGTAAAATATAATTGAACAGAAGCACATACTAGGTGTCTAATAAGTAGACAATACAAATTTTACTGAGTTGATTACTTAAATCAAACATCTCAAAATGCTAATAACCTAATATTGTAATCAAGTGTGAGAAGGTATCTCGTGAAGAAGGTATTTTTACCCCAATAGGAAATGGAGCGTCCTTCTCCAGCAGCATTGCTCTTGCTCTGAGCCTGGAGGTCTTCTTTGGAACAGAGCCAGCCAAGGGGTCACTGGGAAGAGGCCCCAATCTCACCGGAGGATGCGGATGTCCCGGGGCAGTATATGGTCTTGGGGCTGTCTAGACAGGTAAGGGAGGAATTTCATTTCAATTAGTCTCTTGACATCGCTCCAGAACCAATTAATAACCCAACAAATATCCTAGAGTCATTAATGATGCCTTTTTACTGAAAAGATTAAACGTTAATTATGTCTTTCCATTATACTTACCCTTATGGCCCAGAGTATTTGTTAAAACATATGGTGTTGACTGAAGCCCTTTACATGACAAAGTGCCGCAGAGCTTGAATATTCTAGACAAAGGAGATGTCCTCTGTGGCACTCCTGTGTTGTTTTTTTTAAGCAAACTCACTGATAATAACTTAATTTATGCTGTGCTGAGAAATGCCTTTGCTCAAGTAAATATTAAGTTGGATGATGTTCCTCTTTTAGAGATCAAAAGGGATATTTTTAGAAGACACATTTCTTTTTCAGCACTTTCAACATAAATTCTACTGTGAGTCCTTTAAGCTCTAAGACTGGTGCTTAGCAAAAGCAGACAATCTGAATCACGCAAAAGTGAAAAGGTGCATGTTTTACTCTAATGCATCGCCATGGCTGTATTCCTTGAAATACTCAGAAAACAAAAATACAAACTGTTTAATGGCAACTTTGGAAGAACACTTGGAAGGAAATTGATGCTTTCCATCCTGGGTTAAGTTCCGTTAGTCCCTCTAGATCTATTCTCCTTCCTAGTCTCCCCCCTACTCTGGGCTCTGGTGGTCCTTTCTTTATGGACTACACTAACTAAGCTTAGGGTTCCTGTTGGATTCAGCCATTGGCAGGAATTGCAGGAGACCAAAGAGCATGGGGTGAGAGTTGGGTTCCTCGTTCTGCTGGGCCTTGCTCAGAATGTTTTTGGGGTGGAACAGCTCAGCCTCTTGCTCTCCCAAAATCCACTGCTCCTGTTGGGCGATGTCCTTCTCGATGGTCCTAAGAGCCAACCTTTCCCTTTCTTCTGTAGACCTAAGTGGTATGCTTCGTATCTGAAGTTAGTTATTCCCCGCCCCGTCTGTATGTCTGTATCTTTGTAAATAGTTTCTTTATTAAACACTTCTTAATTACCCAATTTGTGTTAGCCATCTGTTTCCTGCTGAGACCCTGCCTGGCACATTTTCCAAACACGAATGCTCTGCAAAAGATCCCAAAAGGACGAGCACAGAGCGTTAGCAATGCTTTTTGGGATATTGACAGAGTAATTTAAGTTTAGTAAAAAGATAAGCAATGTTTCAAGAGTGGAAAATTCGACTTGAGAACAGCATAGTTGCTCTATAACAAGGAAATATAAACTATGGCAAGAATAATTCATGCATGTGTGGGTAGAGGGAGATTGACAGTCTTTACATAAAGCTTAATACATTGGCTTGAAAAAGTATAATGGTAAATAACACATATTCAAATCTGGGAAAGTGTGTATGCATGCATAAAAATGATCATTAAGCTGCTCTTACTACCAAAAATAAGTTTCCGTGTCATCTTTGAATAGTGTGTCATAGGTCATAAAAATCTCTGATTTTGTTCAGTCAACATTCATTGAATCCCCGCTATAAGCTCTGTGCAGAGATATAAAGTAATTTTTCACATCTAATAGTAACACTAAGAATTAGGGCCAAAGGAACCACACAAATACTGCCAAACGGACAATGATACCAAAATACCGAGAAACTAAAAGAACTTAGAACTTTCCAAATATTGGAAATAGACCAATGGAGCAGATAACAATACAAGTTTTACAGAAGCACTTAGGTTTTATCCACGGTTGAGTGAGAAAATAAAATGGATGTGATAGAAGAGATGTGGCATATTTGAGCATCCAGGTAAGAAAACATAACCAAAATTGCCACCGAGTCAATGCCAACTCACAGCGACACTATCGGGTTGGGTAAAACTTCCCCCATCAGTTTCGGATACTGTAACTCCTATGGGAGTAGAAAGCCCTGTCTTTCTCCCGAGGAGAGGGGGGTGGTTTCAACCGCTGACCTTGCAGTTAGCAGCCCCAAGTAACCACTACGCCACCAGGGCCCTCCTCCAAGCCAGAGGAGAGCTTCCATATCAGCTGTGAGCAAGACATGGAGAGATGATGGTCACAAAGATAACCATCATTTTCCAATGCATGTTTTCCTCGCCTTCACTTATAATGTAATTTTTAGCTGGGAACATGGCTCTCCTAAATAAAGGCCATGTTTCTCAGCATTCCTCGCAATTCTGGGTGAACTGTGCTACTAAGATATCAGTGCCAGAGATCCATGAAGCGTCCATGGAGGGTCCCACTTCCTCCATGCTCTCTCTCCTCTGGCTGAAATACCCATGCAGTGATACATCATCTTGGCTTATGCCGACGATGACAAAACCTGAGTCTATCTGTACAGTCTGTGATGTAACGGGAGTCTGAGTGCTGAAAGTCATCAGAGGCTACAGCTATCACACCAGCTGCGACTTCTCTGTGTGTTTGTTTTGGGGGTACAGAGACGGCACTTAACTATTTGGGGAGTCTATGAGACATAACTATTTGGGGTTTACATGCAAACTTGCTTCACAACTGATACAGGAACTGACTAGAGTGACACTTGATTTAAAGAAACTGGATATGCACAAATATGGGCCGTAAAATGAAACATTTTAGAACCTGTAAAAGAAATGAAAACAAAAACTGTAAAAGAAGTTTCTGAACAAGGAAGTCAGATCACCCAAGATATTTCTTTTGAAATCTGTAAAGCAAACATGACTTAAGACTCTCTAGTGTAAAATAACCTAACTGAATGTATAAACAATGAACACCTAATGTGGAAATCAAGAAAGTGAGCTACTGTAAACGAGAACATGATCTATTGACTGTTGTGTTCTAAACGTTATTTCCCCTCATTTGCATACAAATATCATTCAGTCAGATGAATGTGGCAGTCAGATGTTTAGCTGATTACATTTATCTCCAAAAACAAATCTGTAACATTCACAAACAGCTGTGAGCTACAAACTGTTCTGGTGCACATCAGACACTACCTTCAATGTGCTATATTTTAAATCGTTCATAATATATTTTCTTGAAATAAATATGGCCCTGGAGCTTAATGCTCCCCAAACTGCCCCAGAATGTGAATTGAATTTGACTACATGGTGATGACTAAGTTTATTGGAGCACTTTTAATTCTCAGTGGAAGACCTCTAGGGATGAGGTTTCCAAGCTGAATAGCTTTCCACCATTTTAAGGGGAACAGTACAGCTAAATGCTTATATGCTATTTTTGGAAGTTTAGGAGCAACCAGTCATCATGTGCAATAACTAATCACCAAAGCCTTCCTTACCCTCTCAAGAAAGTTCTAGAAAGTCTATGGTGACGTCCCCAAAGGATTATTACCTTCATTTGAATAACACTTAGAAGTCAGGAGTCAAATTTAATGGATCTAAAGGTTGTGAAGACAAAAAGATCTAAATTTCTGTAAAATGGGAACTACAATTCCAAGACCTTAATGCATACCCCAGAGTGGGGTGCAGAAGCACCCCAGGGGTGGCCACGTGAGGGGCCGCGGCTCAGCAGATGGAAGGCTTCTGAAGTGCTAGTGTCAGTGTTTCCTGTAATTTCCAAATTACCTTCCCGTTCCTGCCACATTAAGATCTCCTGGATGTATCATAAACTATTTACTGAGGGTGTTCAGCTGGAAAATTGAAAAGAAAGCCTTTCAAGGTTTTTCTCCTCTTGGAAACAGGTGAGAAGACAGAAAACAGCCCTTGATTGTTTCTTTGTTTCTCTCGGATTAACCTTTTGAGAGTCTGGCGAATTTGCCGTCTCATGAAGGAATTATTTGCGTGCATTATATATTCAAATCAAACCTAGAAATGTGGTAACAGCAAAGGGGAGAGAGTATTGCTTTTCGTAACTTAAGCGTCTCATCAGGAAATGTGAAAATATATTTACCTTTTGAAAAATGGCAAAGCTTGGCGTGATATATGATGAGTCTACTTTTTCAATCTATGAAATCATTACAACCCCTCTGCAAATATTGCTCAACCCCCCCCAAATGTACATGCTAACAGGAAGCTATATTAGGCAACACAAAGCAAGAATAGAGGCATGATCAAGTACACCTAACCCATCATGAATATTTTCCAATTGTATTGCTTAAATTTTCCTTACCTTCATTTAAGCAAATACTACTTTTATTACAAATTAATAAAGTTGGAATAAAATTTCCATGTGAAATTTCTTTAAATGGAATTTCTGCACATTTATTTTTATTTTAGAGTTTGTGCACATTCTTCTGATCAAACTCAGGTAGTAATAATCTTGACAGCAAATTATGCTGAGTGACTAAAGTAGTAGAGACACAGTCCAAGCGCAGAGGTGCATCAAGAAGCTTCACGAACAAGGTGGGACTAGAGAAAACAAGAACAACATCTAGAGGGCTTAAAATATAGAACATGAACACGGAGTGGTTAAATTTTGCTGCACTGTGGGATATCAGAAGCAACTGTGGGGGACAATATCAGGATTGCTGATTGGAGTAATAGGGTCTAAAATGTCAGATGAAAGATTGCAGGCTTTTCCATAGGTTTGGGACATGTAAATGACATAAGTAATCTGCATGCAATGAAACGAACCTAGCAATAACAAGAAGAATGAATACGGCTGGGGTAATATTGATTGAGGACAATGCTTCAGTGGAAACACAATGAACAGATATAAATCTATGTTTCAACTCATTAGGACTTTCAAGATTGTGTAGGACATATTCCCAGAGAGTAATCTTTCTGAGAGTAATTAAAGGCAATACATTAAGTAGTTGAGAGAGTGTACGACAGTCTTTCATAGAACTCACCATTGTTAATGGACTGGAATGCCCTTCATCCACCGGAATGCTATGGCCCCAGTTACTCTTCTGCCCAAACGGCGGGTGGGGAGACAGGATTGGCATGTTATTTTCTACAGACCATCTAGTGGGCTCCCCCTAGAAAAAGGAAGTGATTTAGAGAATAGATGCATCTCAGTCAGGCTGGTTATGCTTGTTATGCCAAGGACACGATGCGACTGCAGAAGTGCTGTCTTATTCTTCTCAAGAGTCTGACTTCCCAGGCATCTCATGAGCATCAGGAAACGTTACCTCCGCTGTGCTGAGGAGGTTGGGAGGGTGGTACGGGCAGCAAATTGAGTGTCCTTTAAGATGAACTCAAAGAAATAGCAGCAGATGCAGTGTAGCCTCACTTTTCATAATTACATATTTCGTTATCTGCTGTCAGAAGAATGCTATAAAAAGCACAATGATTATCACTAGTCCAACCAGAAAAGAATATCAAAAAGTGTTATTTATCTACCTTAAAAAATAATCAAATCAGAATCACTTATGGTGATAAAAAAATTTAGAAATAGATAGTAATAAAAGTTGCACAACATTGTAAATGTGGCAATACCATTGACGTGCATACTTTAAAAATGGATCAAATGAAAAAATGTTGTCATATACAGTTTACCACACTAAAATACAAAAATAAATAAGGCTATAAATAAAAAAGTATAAAAATAATGAAAACCTAAAAATGACCTATTCCCAGATGCATCTATAACACCAAAATTACCACGAATAAAACTTATAAGGGGAGGAACTGAAATGTCTAGAATGACCTTCTCCCAGGGTCACAGCATGCGCGTGCAGCTAGCTTCACGTGTCGGGGAGTGAGGGTGAGGGCACAGGAAGCAGAGCTGCCATCACTGATACCACTTCAGGCAAGGCTGCTTGCCCTTCAGTTCCAACAATCATCTTTATCCATCAATGCTGCAGCAGAATTACAGAATCTATAAGTCAGTCTTTAATAAAGGACATTATCAGGAAAGTTGAATTAACGACAATCTCTGCACTCCAACTTCTCCAGTCTTGAAAAACGGCCCTCTCTTCTACTATACAGCAACGGTTTTGTAACATGATTTTCTTTGACCATGATAGAATGGACAGATTTGACTCTATCAAGCAAAAAGGAAAATGTATAGTCTTATATGGCCAGTTATTCCACAGAAGCTTTAAATATATTCATCAATTCGTGAGATGTGGTTTTGGGCCCACATTTGTAATCCTGCACAGAAAATTAAGAACAGCATGTGAGCTTAAATGGCTCAAGAAATTGAGTAAAACTGCCAACCTAAATGGAAGCCTTCCCAACCTGCCCAATTGAACCTCTCAGCTCTTGATTTAAATTTATATATTTCATAAGTTCACTGCAATGAAGGGATATAAAATACAAGACTAGAAACCAAACAAAGAATTTTAAAATGCCCTCTGAAGCTATAACACAATCATCATTCTCATAGAGATGGAAACACATTCATCATCTTTCTATGGAAGAAAAGAGACCATGGATAAGAAAAGCACTATTGCAGAGGAAGACCAAAGTAGAAGTCTCAAATTTCCAGGTCTCAGCATTTATTAAACAGCCATCACAGTCAAAAAAGCTTGGTCCTCTTACAAGGAGACACATGGGTCAATGAAACAAAATTGAGAAGCCAGAAATAAATGCATCGACTGATAGACAGCTGCCAAGAAAGCAAACTAAGTATAACACTGGGGAAGTCTGTTCCAAAAGATTTCCTTAACGTGTAAAAGAACAAATATGTTACTTTAAGGACAACGGTGCTAAGGTGTGCCTGATCCAAGCCTTGCTAGTTTCAATGTGTTTGCATGCTAGCCAATGAAGAAGGAAGAGCAGAGCAAAAGGTATACAAATAAATGATAGAGTCGGTGCAAAATACTGAAATTGCTATGGACTACTTTGGACATGGGTGTAGGAGGAAGCAATTCCCTGAGAAGGACATCATGCTACCTTAAGAGGAGGGTCAATGGAAAGTAGAAGACCACCAGATCCATGAACTGACACATGTGGCAACAACAATGGGTTCAGACAAAGGACAAGTGGTGAGGAGGGCACTTAAGGAGGCCGTGCTTCATCTGCTGTACATAGGGATAAGTTGCCATACATCAGAACAGACTCAAGGGCAGTGAACAACATCACTGGACAGTTGACCTTCAGCAAAGCGCTGAGATCCATTAAAGGGGGAAGAGATAGTCTCTTTGACAAACAGTACTTGTAAAACTGGATACCCAATTGCAGAAACGTGAAATAGGATCCATATTCCTTCCACACCATATGCAAAGACTAGCTCAAGGGGGATCCAAGATCTAAATATAAAGCCTAAACTGTAAAACCGTAAAGATTTTTTTAAAGGGCAAATTTCAGGGGGTGGCTAATCTAAACTATCAAACATGGCTAAAACGCACAGATAGCAGGAGATAAACTAGACAGACAAGTTAAACACCTATACCTGTGCACATCAAAAGTCTTCTCCAAAAGAGGCCTTATAGACTGGGGAAATATTTTTGGCAGTGAAAATCAGACAAAGAACTGATCTTTAAAACATGTAGACAATTTTCACTACCGCAGCAACAAAAAGACCAAAAAATCCAATTAAAAATGGACAGAAGACGTCATTGGACACCTCACTGAACCAAATATACAAGCAAGCAAGAAAAACATGAATCAATTAGTAACCCACTGCAATTGAGTAGACTCTAACTCATAGCAATCCTTCTATAAGCTGTAGCTCTTGATGGGAACAGACAGCCTCCTCTTTCTCTCATGAGAGGTTAGTGATTTTGAACTGCAAAGTTTGCTGTTAGCCATCCAGCCCTTACCAGACACCATCACCAAGTTCCCTTTATTAGCCAATAGGGAGATGGAAATCAAACCAACAATATCATGTCAACACAAAAAAAGTTAACAACAGTAAACAATAATTGCTGACAGAAGTGTGGAGAAATTGAAACTGCCATACATTGCTGGTAGAAATATAGAACGATACAACTGCTATGAAAAAGAACGTATAACTTCCTTAAAAAGTTGAAATGAAAATTGGAAATACCCGATAATCTAGAAATCCCACCACAAGGAGTGCTAAAGTTAAAGGCAACTTTAGTAAGTATTATTATATACACAATTCCATAGTCACAGTAATAACAAACAATAATTTACAAGTGGATACATAGCCAAATATGTAAACTGAATAGATGTGAGCGATCATCTGGGAGCACACCCATTTGTAGGCTTCACAGAGGATATTTCTATATCTGTTTGTGTTGCAAATATATCATAGGGTTTAATGGGGCATAGGAAGGGTAACGTTTTGAAAAGCTCGTAGACAAAAACCAAGCCCCTTAAGGAAGACGCCAGTGGACTTTGGAACTAAGAGCCACAGGGCAGGATACATCTAGGCCAACTAGCATAACGTAGAATGCACATGCAATGTTCTGTATCATATTTCAGTGAGTAGCAAGCGGGGCGTTAAAAACTTTTGTATGGCTGTCTAAGATGCAGCTATTGTTCTCTTCCCATAGAGAGCAAAGCCAAGTAAAGAAAATCAAAGACAAGGCTCACGGAGACAATTGGTTTCTAGGACTAAGAGATGACATCACCTCCACTGCCCTAAGACGCAGATGATGCCTGGCTACCACTACTGACGTCTCTGATCAGGATCACCATGTTAGGTCCTAGACAGAGTGGGAGAGGGGGAGATGCATAATACAATTCAAGATCATAAAAAAAGACGTACTTGGCGAATAGAATCTAGTGGAACCCTATGACTTTTAGACACCTTTCATGTCTGGAATTGAACCCACTGCTGGGGATCAACATTTCAGCCAAGCAATAGAAAAGTCTAGAAAGTAAATAAAAACCCCAGGGAGCAATTTACTTCTCAGTGCAATCAAATCTATGATACCCAAAAGGTAGATTTATCCAAACAAAGCCCAGAACACAGAAAAGAGGAATAAAAATGAGCAAATGGAAATAGGTAACTTGGGGAAGAAGTGCAGAGTGCTGTTACGGAGGGATTGCAAACACTTCATACAACAAAATGTCTATAATTGAGTGTGAAACTCATTTGCTCCGTAAACTTTCACTCAAAGCACAATAAAATCTCGAAACAAAACTTAAACATGCTCTGGACAAAATGCCTACATCTCTTCGTGCTTTCTTTTGCTGTAGTGGGCTTTTCCTACTGCAGATTTCCAAAGGCTACAGTGCCATGAAAATGTGCCGTTGTGTAATTCTTCAAATGCCTTGGTTTCCATCATACCAGTGACATTACCATAATTTTTCACCTCTTTAAAGCAAACAGGAAGACCTTTGGCTCCTATCACCTCTTAACCAATGATTTACAAATTCAAAACTTCAAACCTGAGAATATTTTTCAGTTTTTCTTTGAAAGGTTTGTATCTTATTAAAATGTATCTCGTACAATTAGGTCCAACATAATCATGACCTTCTATGAAGATCACAGCCAAAACCAGGCCCGGAAGAACCATAATTTGACCTCAATGATAAGCGAGCCCAATGTAAAGGACCACAAGGATCATGGCTTCGGAAATGATAAAAAATATTAGGGAGTAAAAGAGAGTTGTGCCACTCCTTACCTTAAACCTCTGAACGCGCTCCTTCCTAGCTATGGCCTCCAGTTTCTTTTTTATTTCAAGCTGGTGGTAACGCTGAGCCCATAGGAAGGAATGGAGGAGAGAATCATATCAATTACAGTAAGTACTTTTTTGGGAGGCAAATAATCCCTACAGTTAACTGTTCTCAGGAGATATACCCTTGTGTCATTGAGATGGAGAATAATCACCTGCATAAATGTGCAGGTGGGGATATAAATCGGTACAACTCTTTGGAAAACCAATTCCTAATATATATTATGCAGTTAAAAATGCTCATACCCTTGAACCATTAAATTTCACTTCTAAACGGAGGGTGACAATCTGAATAATAAAGTAATTTTCTATGACCATTCTGTTTGAAAGTTATTTTTTTCTATCATAGCAAACATTTAGAAGCAATATGAACAATGAAGAAAATGATGAAGCATTTGCTGCATTCATATGATGGACTAGAATAGCATCATTAAGGCTCTTTAAGATTTTGTTTTTAAAAATTGGAAAATGCATGTAAAGTAGATAAAAACCAGGACACAAACCAGTATTGTGCAGAATTACAATTTAACTCATCAAACCGTAGTTGTGGCTATCTCTCAAACATTTCTAAACACAAGCAATTCCGTTTTAAAATTAAGACAGAATAACCGTGAACTTGCCTTAGGTCGCATATCTAGTTGGTAGCAGAAATTTGAACTCTGACTATCTTACTCTAACGTCCAGGTGTCCATACTAAGACAGGAGGAACCCTGGGGGCATAGTGGTTGAAGTTGGGCTGTGACTTGCATGGTTGGCGGTCCTAAACCAGCAGCAGCCCTGCAGGAGGACGACGGGTGTCTACTCCTTTAAAAGTCTCAGGAACTCTCAAGGAGCCAGCATGAGTCAGCATTGACGTGATGGCAGTATGTTGGTTTGGTTTTGTTTGTTTTGCGAGACAAAGACATGCCTCTCTCTCACACAGTATCATTTTACTAATGTACACGCCGAAGACCTAAAACAATATTGTCGACATCACATGCAAGTAAGATTTTGCTAAAAAGCATCCAAAAAATGAGATTGGCAGGGAACTGCCTGAGCAGATTCAGAAGAGGAGGTGATGTGGAACACAGGATATCATTGCTGATGTCAGATGGAGCTTGGCTCAAAGCTGAGAGTACCAGAAAGATGTTTACTTGTGTTTTATTGACTATGCAAAGGCATACAACTGGGTGGACCATCATAAACTACGGATAGCCTTAAGGAGAATGGGAATTCCAGAACATTTCATTGTGCTCATTCGGAACTTGTACATGGATAATGAGGCCTTTGTGTGAACAAGATAAGAGAATACTGCATGGCTTAAAATCAGGAAAGGTGTACATCATGGTTGCATCTTCTCACCATACCTGTTTACTTTTATGCTCAGAAAATAATCATAGAAACTGGCTTATAGGAAGAAGAATGGAGAGTCAGGATTGGAGGAAGGCTTATTAACAAGCTGTAATATGCAGATGACACCTCCATGCTTGCAGAACGTGAGGAAGACTTGAAACATTAGCTGCTGAAGATCAAAAATCGCAGCTTCCAGTCTGCATGTGGACTCAATGTAAAGAAGACCAAATCCTCACAACTGGACCAATAGGTATAGCATGATAAAAGGAGCAACAGTTGGTGTCGTCAGGGCCTTTTTTCTTACTTAGTGCCACAATCCATGCTGATGGACGCAGCAGTCAAGAGATCAAAATATGCATTGTGTTAAGTAAGTCTGCTACGTAAGTCCTCTTTAAGTATTGAAAAGCAAGAACGTTACTTTGAGGACGAAGATGCACCTGACCTAAGCCATGTATTTTGCATCATCACATATGAATGTGAAAGTTGGGCATTTTATAAAGAAGACCGAAGGAAAATGTAATGCATTTGAATCGTGGTGCTGGAGGGAATACTGAAAATATTGTGGACTGCTGAAAGGACAGGCAGGTCTGTCTTGGAAGAAGTATGCCCAGAGAGCTCCTAGAGGGTAAACATGGCTCGGCTTCATCTTCCACACGTGGTGCAGAGAGACCCGGCCTGGAGAAGGGCATCCTGCCTGGAAAAGAGGAGGAGGAGGAGCAGAAGGGGAAGGTCCTCAAGGAGATGGATTGACACAGCGGCTGCAACGGTGGGCTCAGCCATAAGAGCAATTCTGAGAAGGGTGCAAGACCGACCGAACAGTGTTTCCTTCTGTTGGACGTTGGATAGCTATGGGTCGGAACCGATTTGATGGCACTTAACAACAACAACGGCATACATAGACATCATAGTGACCCTGTGGACAGGGTAGGGCTGATCCCGTAGGTCTCCAGGATGTAAATCTACAAGGAAGCAGAAATCCTCATCTTTCTCCAGCAGAGCACTGTTGACCTGTGGTGAGGGGTCAATAATGAATGATTATTGACTTAAGGGCAGTGAGTTTCCATTTGTGAGATATACGGAAATTGGAGGGTAAAAAAGATTAAAAGGAAGTGTAAGTATGTTAACAGCAACTATCTCTGAGAGAAAGAATTATATATGCTTACAATCCTTCTTTATACTTTTCCCCAAGTTTTCTATAATAGAGTTCATTTTATAATTTAGAACTAAACATCACATAAAAAATAAGCTCCTTACTATTCAAATTTAAATTATTTAGACATGTTTGAAGGTGTTTGACCTATCCGGTACTTAGGGATCCTTCAGAAATCCATTTGCTTGTTTTGTTTTCCCTTTGCCCTTGATCCAGTCTGCTTCCTTTGAGAATCCTCCTTCTCAGTCTTTACCCAAGTATCAGCAAACCCCTTCTTGACACTTGCCTTTCTTCTCTCTCTCTCTGTTCTCATAGTTTTCAGCAAACTATGCTAAATATTACCAACCATTTTTTTCATCATCTACTTATTTTCAATTAACTCAGTCACCAGCCATGCCATACCTCCTCTTCAACACCATAAGAATACTTTTCCCCAGGGCACCCAAGTCTTTGTCTTCTGAGTCAAATCTAATGTCTTTTTTTTCCTAAGCCCGTATCGTACTCAACCATCCTGCAGGCTTCCACAACACTGTTTCCTCAAGCACATCATTCTGTTCACTGGAAGGATTTCTTTCCAGTCCGTTTTGTTGCTCTGCCAGGATGGTTGGAGATGCTGTGGGCTCTATTTTCCTTCCACCTACTTTATAGAATCAGTGTGAATATTCTCATTTCTTCCTCTTCAGTAGTTCTGGAGGCAGCCGCAGATCTGCAGCATTATCTCTACCGCTGTGCATCCATCCCCTTTGGCAAAAACGTCTTAATTGACCTCCAACCTCCAATCTTTTCCAGCTCATTAATCCATCTTCCACACATTTAGCAAGTGCGTTCCTCTATGCCACTCGCCTGGTGGAGGACATTGCAGCACATACTCTGTAGACTTGGTTGCGAAGAAAACACTCTCCAGAAACAGGCCCAGCCTCCAGTGCCCTCTGTAGGCTGGGCAGCCTGACCTCAGGGCACTCCTATTTTCTACCATCAAATCCTTCCACACCACTGTTGCTTTGGAACTGCTGCCTTTCATCTCTGGAGTCTCTGCCTTGTTTTCACGTGGTGAACTCCCCCTCAGTCTTAAAGACCCCATGTGCACAGCAGGGCCTCTGTTCGGCTTCTCCTGCTCCCATTGACACATCCTCATTCTCTTACTTTCAAGGCCCACTCTGCAGGCTCTTGTCTAGCACATACCCACTTTCTACTGTATGCTTATTGTTATATTTCTCTGCAGCTATTGGCACAGGGAAAGCCTGCAATTAATGTTTGGTGCAAGAAAGAATATATGAATATTAAGACCACTATTAAGAATATCAGTAAACAATATCAGTTTAAAGCAAATGTGAGACAAATATCAGACACATCAGACAGGGGTCACTCTGTGAGTTGGCACAGAGCATCTGACAGCATATATCAATTACATATCACAGAATGCATGAAGAATGCATGCAGTCTTAAAAACAGCACAGGTAGCAGGTAGTATATATCATGACATGTCGTGATGTGTCAACTGTGTGAAACCTTGAAAAATCACTTTAAGGGACTACACTGGGAAAACCAGTGTTAAGGCAAAACCCACTAAAACAGAAGTCAGTGTTGCTTAAGTTTGAAATGAACAAAATTTATACTTTACTATTTTTTTAATCATAGTTATAGGATTGAAAGTAAAAATCTAGTGGGAATAATTTAAGGGGAAACTTTTCCAGTGTGCTAAACTACCTCTGAATATCATCTGATTTCTCTCTATTTTTTATAGGTGGGTACTTAAAAAGCACATGGCAAGTTCCATTATCATTTAATTCAAATTTCCATGAGCTTTTCGAAGCCCCCTGTTACACACCCCTATATACAAAATCATCATGCGTGATATTAAAAATTTAAGAATACAAAAATTTGGATTATTTCAAGATGTCCCTTAGGATAACCAAATCCCTTAGGTATTCAAAATTCGTTTGAATTCTAGAACAAGTAGCACTTAAATTTATTTTGGCTAAATTTTACATTAAATACCATTTGTAGAATATTTCCAAGAATGTAAGTACCAAACTTGAGTAGAAAAAAATTATATAATTTAACACCTATTAGTCTGTGCTGAAAATCTTGTAACATAGTTGCACTACATATTATGACTTTCTGCTAATCAATAATTCTTAAAAGACAGAAATTTGTTTTTGTTTCAAGTTTTTTTTAAAAAATCTAGTTTAAAAGCAAGTGAATTTGGTGACCATAAAAAAAGATGCCATGTAATTAATAAGCATGTTGTAAAACAAAAACGAGTCCCTAAGTTAACAGCTCATGCATGTTGTAAATGAACATAACATTTGCAAGGTATGATGGCATTGTAATAATAAATCTTTTCATTGGCACGACACTTAGTATTGGTTTACTGATGATTCTATGTTTGTTCATAAATGTTTACAGCACCCGCAGGTCAATGGTTTTATGAGTCAAGTTTCTGATTTACGACTTACAGTGTGGTCAAGCCAAGAAGTGACAGGCTTTTTCTTGGATATTAAAACAGTGTTGATGCTTGGAACTACAAGTTTCATGGACCAAGACTAAAATAATTTGTCAAGTTAGAGAGATATCCACTGAAAATGCCATGTCAGATTTAAAACAGTAATTGTTGATGGTTGGGTTGTAAATTTGCACTGACCAACGTGGCCTAAAGTAGGCGGGACGGCAGATGTTTCCATGCCTATTCCTTGAAACTTAGCATACGGCTGCGTTTCAGAGCCTTAAAAAGATAACAGATCTGAAATAATTCATGGCAGTGGGATTCCTGATATTTAAACAGATGTCACTTTTTTCCCCCTTGCAAATGAAAATTGAGGTACAGATGGTGAGGGCTGGTAGTTTTAGAGTAGCCATTATGGATTAAAAACATTCATTTGGAAAATTAAATATCACAAGATATATAATGATTTCCATACTTTTAACTATCTGGAAATGGATAAAAATTGACTTTAGGACCCTGGTTAACCTAGAGAGACAGGGAATTTCTCAGGCTCTCTCGTTCATTACCTTTTAATGCAATAGAGGAAGAATCCCCTGACTTCTGGGTAAAGAAGACAAATTTATTATCACAGCCATAAATTTCCATTATAGAGAAAATAGTAAATACCTTTACCTCCATATCAAGGACTTTATGAAAAATAGCCTGGGCCAAACACTCGCGGATATATTTTTGGTGATCTCGCTTCATGATGTTTAGTTTGTATTCTTTTTCAGAGCGTATTCTTCCACTTCTTGTGATCTGTCAGGAACAAATAACAACAGAGAAAGACAAGAGGGAACATGTATTCTTAGTTGCCAAAAAAAAGAGGATAAGAAAGAGAAAGAGAGAGAAGGTGGCAGTATTTTCAGGCAAAAGGAAAATAGCACTATAATTGATCAACTTTCTCTCTTAATAAATATTTCATTAGGCAAAAATGAATAAGGCAGTCTCATATACCCATCATTGTGAAAACACACAGGTGGCGTGCCTGATGTTTCAAACAAGGTTCTCATTAGAGTGGCTATTTTCTTTTTTTAATTCTTGATGGAACCCAGGTGTTCTTTTTATTCTTCTTCTTTTTGTTATACATCCTAGGAAGACGTGGAGTGCCACCCGAAGCAACGAACTGGAGCCGTGAACACAGGACTGTTGCTCTCACAGGAAACACCGAGAAGGGCAAAATATGTATGCTACAAAGGATCTCATCCATTTGCTTTAAAAATAAAAAATTGTTGATTTTATTACTTTGTTTTCAGGTTTTTTTCCCCTTCTTCCACTCTCTAATCCAAAGTTTGATTTAATTTGCAATGATTCAGAACTACAGGTGATATAGTACTATAGACAGAAGGTATCTGGTACGAGTCTCAGTTGGCACTGATAGAAGTCACAGGAGGGGCATGTTGTTTTTAATTTTTACTTATTTTTCTTATCTTTTAATTCCTCCTAAAGAGGGCTGATGGTACAGTGGGTTAACCATTGGGCTGGTTCCAAGTTCCAAGGTTTGAATCTACCTTCCAGTCACTCTGTGAGAGGAAGATGTAGCAGTAGGTTTCCATAAAAGTTTAAAAGAACACTTGTCATCCAACCCTCTGTTCTCAAACTAGTTCTGATTTGTGGTAATCCTACGGCACAGACTAGAGTTGCTCCAAGGGGTTTCTGAAACTGCAATTGAAATTGTCACGGTTTCTGTCTTATTTGGATCCACAATCAATGCTGATGGAAGCAGAGGCCAAGAAATCAAATTCTGAGCATTGGGTAAATCTTCTCCACATGACCTCTTTAGAGTATGGAAAAGCAGGGATTTTGCTGTGAGGACTAAGATGTGCCTGCCCCAAGCTATGGTATTGTCCATCATCTCATATCAGAGTGAAAGTTGGGCATAGACTAAGGAAGATTGAAGAAGAATCAATGTCTTTTGAATGATGGTGCAAGTGGAGACTTTGGAAAGTACCACAGACTGCCAAAAGTACAAACAAATCCGTCTCAGAAGAAGTACAGCCAGAATGCTCTTTAGAGGCCAGGATTGCAGATGTGGTCTCACATACTTTGGGCATGTTGTTGGAGAGAAAGTGGTCCCTGGAGAAGGACATCATGCTTGGTAAAGTAGAAGAGCTCAGGAAAAGAGGAAGGCCCTCAGCCAGATGGATTGACTCAAACATAAGCACAATCGAAAGAATTGCACTGTACCGGGCTTTGATTTGTTTTGATGTACATAGCATCACTGTGACTGAGTTTCAGCACCTAAAAACAACATGTATTCACCGTAGCCGATAGCCTTTTCTTTCTTCCATGGAGCCACTGTCGCTTTTGAACCACTGACCTTGTAGTTAGCAGCTCAATTCTTAACCTGCTGTGCCTCCAGGCTCCTAAGCAATCCTACTTCTAAATATAACTTCTAAATTTCTTAATTTTGTTCTATGATACTGGTAGCTTCAACAGTGGAGTATTGAGATTTACTAGAGTTCATTAAAAAATGAATAAATACAAGTATTTCCAATAGAAGAAAAGGGTGTAGTTGAAAGTGTGCTTGGAATTACAAAAACAAAAAACACAGAGCCTTTGAAATGCATTGGCCACGGCAATAACACGCCATGTGTATCAAACTGGAAAAAAAGTATTGAGAGTACTCTGTACCAGCATTCCTTTGGCAGTTCAAATTTGTCCTTGTTCTCTCTCCTGAGAGTGTCCCTGGTTTCAACTAGAGCAGACACCCTGACTAGTTAGAGATTCTCAAACTTCAGCCTGCATCAGAATTGTCCACAGGGTTTGCCAACAAAGAGACTGATGGGTTCCCTCCTTTTACGTCTCATTCAGTAAGTCTGGAGTGGGGCTCTAGAATTCACATTTTCTAACCAGAACCAACTCAAGGGCATCAGCCAACAATAACAAACCGGCTCCCAGGTGATACTGAACAGTGCTGATTCAGGGGGACTTCTGCTCTGGGGAAATGGGGTACCTTCCTTATTTGAGCTGCCGTGCATAGAGTCAGTGTTCAAGAACTCTGCGTTAATTATGTTGGTAAGTAAATACCGAATCCTCACAAAATGTACCTGAAGTTGATAGATTATTATTCAAAGAGGCAATGTTAATAATAACAACCATAATTATAACCATTTATTGTCACAACAGCCCTGTGTATCCCTAAGCTGATTTTTCAATTGAGCACGTTGGGGCTGAAAATTTTAAGTGATTTGCTTTAGATTCGATGTCTTCTGAATCGTAGAGCTAGAATTTCAGCCTAAGTCTGAAAACAAAGCCTCAGGAGACTAAATGTAAGCTCCTGGAGATCTACCAGCTACAGTGCCATGCTCATAAACAACAATTAGAAACGCAATGCCTGGGCTTTCAAAACCATGGCAACAAGAGTTGAGGAAATCCACTGTGTTTTAAGAAGGTAAACAGCTTCGATTGTTAGTCGCACACTTTCTATAGACACACGCCTTTCTCCCAGTGGAAAACTATAGTATTTTTTAAAGGTTTTGCTTTATATGTATTTAGAGAAATGGGAACTTTGTGGAAAGAACAGTTTGGGGGCTAATGAAATACATGACTGTATCAATAAAGTACCACAGGAAATGAGTTTTTAAAAATTCAAGGGGGAAATTGTGAACTGTTCTTGTCTTTCACACTATATTCTAGGATTATTAAAAACAATAATTTGACTCTGTTGATTGCATTTGGATGAAGGCACACATGCAGTATTCTGGAAAAGATTAGTGGTTTTCAAAGTTGGAGGTAGAAGAGGGTATGTCAAAGGCATGATAAAAATATTCTATATATTGATTGTCATGATGGTTATACAATTGTATAAATCTGTCAAATTCATAGAGATGTATAGCTAAATAATTACTATATGTGAGTTAGACCTCAAATAAGCCTGAAAAAAATTAAAACTTTTTTTCCCTTGAAAAAAGTAAAATGTCAGTTCCTGGATCATAGGATATGTTCAATAAGTGTGTGGAAAAAATGAATGAATAAACAAACAAATGCAATATCCTGTTGGAAAATCATAGAGACTTCCTAAATAATTTGTATCCTTAGCCTTCTTTGTGACCTCTCTCCCTATCTTTTGAAACACAACCTCAAATAGATAAATCAGAGCTTTGGAAAGGATATACTTTTTCTACAACAAGAAAGTTGGGGAAAAAATGCCACAGCATGGCTCAAAGAAAACCCTTAAAAGGTGGGGAATTATTGGACTTGTTGAAACAGGGTGGATAGGAAGTAAATCAAATCTTACCAGTCCTGATCTTAAAAGATGCCTCCTTATCCTTGTATTGTTGAAATATCCTGCCAGGTGTTTATCTGTAAGGCTATTATATGCTGCAAGTAATCTGAAACAGAAAAATCCATCCATTAGTGTTTTATGAATTGCTTTATGATAGCTAAGGCATGTCTTGGCTTTCTAGTCCCCAACTGTGCACAATCATTCACTTGTCCAGCAACCACTCATTTATGCATGCATTTAATTAGCAGGCATTTAGCATCCAACTATAGTCTAGATTTTATGACAGGAATTGGTGGACAGCCGGGACACTGGTTTTCCCAAGAACAGAAATCAGACATGGACAATTAAGCAGAGTATGAAAAGTCCAACAATAGAGGTACACAAAAAGTAATGGGAAGAGAGATAAGAAGACCCCTAGCTCTGAGCCATTTCCAGAGAAACCTCATTGGATAGTTACATAATTTCATGTCAATTTGAAGATATATAAAAGTGTGATGGTGGTACTCAACCTGTAAATCAGGTCTCAGCCTGGTGGTGTCTCCTTGTCTGCATGGTCTTCTCATAAGGAAGACCCTGGGAACCTCCCCTTCTCTCCCGGCCTTCACCTTCCTGCTGCCTCACCAGGTTGCTGCCAGAAGCCTGGAGATGCGTCCACCACTATTGGATCCACTAGAGTTAGCACCCAATGGTTTGTGGTCTTCCTACTTTCTGCATCATCGCAAGTGGCTGTGTGAGTCTGAAGAGGGCCTTATGGACTAGTATTGGACTTAAAGACTTGATCTGGACTGGGCTTGGCTGTTTGCTTGACATACAATTACTTCTTGGTACAAAGCTCTCTCTTGCATCTATATGAATGCTACTGGATTTGTTTCTCTCGTCAACCAGGCCTAGCACACCTAGGAAAAGTGGGTTCTCCTTCAAAGGGCTCTTTGAGCTCTCAATGATAAAGAAACAACAACAGTTGTTCTTGAATCAAGTCATGGCAACTTTAAGTATGTTAAGGTAGAATTGCCCACTGGAGTTTTGAACAGTTTAAAAGGATCTTTCCAGGTTAAATTGATAAGGCTTTCTTTGGAGGCACCACTAGGTAACCTCAAACTCCATCCTTTCTGTTAGCCATGAGTGCATTTAACCATTAATTGTCTGTAATACCCAGCCTTGTTTATACACCAGTCCACAAAGCAAGAATGCTGAGTGCCTTTGGGCAGAAAGTTTGCTGGCAGAGTAGAATACCTCCTAAGACATTATGGAGGGGCTATGTTGGCGAAACCATAGACATGGAGATGAAAGTATTTGGATTGAGCCTGTGGCAGAGATTCATGCCTTTGGGCACTTACCAGCAGTTCTAAAGGGCTTTCTACCACTTGCTTGTGCAAGACTGAGGCCAAGGGGCTGCATGACTGTTAGGCTGCTAGGCTGAGGGCTACAGAGAGGTGTATTTGTGAGCATGGTTGGGAGAGGCTGTCTTGACTGGAAGAACTATAGCCTAAGAAGTTCTAATGATGAATTTTAATCAGCTAACTTCCCTAATAAACCCTATCAGACTTCTGTGTGCCATTGCAATGACTTATCAAACTCAGTAAAGAACTAGGTTATGCCTTTGTAAGGACAGTTGATGTCAGAATTGGCAACAAAAATAAAGTTTGGTGGGTGGATGCATGTTTGACCTTTGCTACAATGGAATCAGCCTTGGGCTGTTAAGTTTGTGTCCCGTGCTCTGTTGGGTAGTCAGGCACCATCCACATGGCCTAATTAAAGGTATCTGGTGGTATAGTGATTAAGCACTTGCCAGTTAACTGAATGAGTGGCAATTTGAACCCACGTAGACAAGAAGAAAGATGTGGCAGCATCCTTCCATAAAGATTTACCGTCTTGGGAACCCTCTGGGCAGGTCTGCTCTGACTGATAGAATCACTGTGAGTCAGAATCAACTCAGTGGTACACAACAACAACATACATATATGGATAGGTAAGTAGGTAGGTAGGTAGGTAGATAGGTAGTTAAGTAGGTAGTGGATGGATGGATGGATGGATGGATGGTTGAATGAAAACATGGCATAAGCATAACACAGCCCCATAACAACTCCATACACTCATTGCCATTGAGTCAATGCCAACTCATAGAGACCGTAAAAGACAGACTCAACCTGCCCTTGTGGGTTTCTGAAGCTGAAAATCTTTAAAGTAGCAGAAAGTTTCATCTTTCTCCCTGGGAACTGCTGGTGGTATTGAATTGCTGACCTTGTAACCAACTCCATTATCCATTATACCACCAGGACTCCTTGACCTAAAATAAAGCTCTCTTGAAAACAATAATCAATAATACATACCCTATTACATACAGTAACAATGTACAATCCGTACATTTTGTACGTGACTAATTCTTAACTCCGTCCAGCACAAGAGCAAGCGCTCGTATTGTACAGTGGAGTACATGGTGATTAGCATCAATTTTGTTTAGCTGTCGGCATGGTGTTCATTGCATGGAGCTAGCACCGGTGACCTTTTCTCTCCTCTTTTCTCCTTAACAGCCCATCATCGAAAAGTTTCATGCTGCCAAATGGTAAGGAAAGTTTAATTTTGTCGACAAAAGAGATGAAAAAGCAGTTACAAAGCTCAGAAGCCAAGATGCCACATAAGGGTTGCAGACTTATGAACAACTGTGGAAACCATTATTTCACTGGGCTGGTGTCCAAAGACAACCGGAGGGCTTCGGTAAAGCACACTCGAAACCAGCACTGGATAATGCTTTGAAACCATCTTTTAAATGAATTGTCTGGGTGTCCTATAGTTCATCAAAGGTTTCCTATCTCCAAAAGGTCAGTGCTGTATCCCTTACCCTTTCCGACTCTCAGAATATCTTTTCAACTCTTCATTTCACAAAGGTGAGCAGGTGCCTCTCACTCCTAACAATCATGATTCCACAGTTCACAGATTCTTAAGATAAATCATTAGAGCAGTATCATATACAGTCTTTTGTCTGCTTTTCAGGCTCATGTTAAAAAAAATCAACAGTTCTGGAACAGCTGGGAGTGCTAAAACCGTGACTAAATGGGCTGGGGTGAAAACCCTGGGATAATATGAACCTCAACTTCCCTCCTGCCTGATAAAACGCTTCCTTCTTTGGAACTCGTTAGATAAGTAAGTCCCAACAACTATATTCGGGAGCCCTTAGTGATGTAAAAACTTAACACTCTGGGCTGCTAACGGAAAGACTTGAAGTTCAAGTTCATCTACAGGTGCCTCAAAAGAAAGTCCTGGAAATCTACCTCCCCAAAAGGTCAGCCAATGAAATCCTTCTGAGTCACAACAGCTCACTTCTGTTGTGCCTGGGGTCACCAGCACTTGGGGCCAACTCAACTACGCTGTCACAAGAACAACAATGACAATAACCATGCTCAGTCAGTGTTATTTGGTCAGGTGTCTTAGAGTCAGATCTGACTCATGGTGACCCGATGTGTGACAGAAAGAAACATCACGTTACACCCTCACAATTGTTACTAGGTTTGAGCCCACTGTTAGAGCCACTGTGTCAAACCATCTCTCACTGGGGATTTTTTTTTTTTTTTTGCTCCCTACTTTACCAAGCATGATGCCCTTCTCCAGGGACTGGTCTTTCCTGATAACATGTCCAAGGTAATCAACATCATCACTACCCAATTTTCATTGTGATACCTCAAGTGCCTAGTAAATGAGGATGTGTGCTGTCCCCTCCGTCTTAATAAAAGGTACTAGCAAATCCATTTCAGATGAAACTTTTGTGGCCATCGGTTTTTGTATTTTTCCCTTTTTAGGAACAATCTAAGCCCTTTGCTGGGACATCTTTTATAAAGCAGCCCATCACAAGCTAGTCATCACTCATTGGCCTCAGAGGGACACGGAATGATAACCACCTTGGCCCTCCTTGGCTCAGTGACATTCTCTTTCAGGCAGAGCCTAAGCTGGGGTTTTTAAACAGAAACTTTAGGGTGGGGGGAAAGGAATTATTAGATACCAAGAAATTCACACTGGAGTAAATCATACACAGATTTAGTAAAATGACCATAGCAATTTTTCCCATCAGATACTATACATGAAGGGGCTTCAAAAAATATATGGAAAAGTTCCATTGTCTTTTAATGCCATTTCCCCAAGAACTTTTTGAAACCCCCTTGGGAGGGCATAATGGTTATGCATTGGGATGCTAACTGCAAGGTCTGTCATTCTAAAGCACCAGCTGCTAGCAAGTTCGGTTGGTCTTGCAAACTCACAGGGGCAGCTCTACTCTGTCCTATAAGGTGGTATGAGCCAGCATTAACTCTATGGCAGTGAGTTTGGTGTGGTTCAGTAAGAACATCAGTGAAGGCTCTAGAAAGGACTACTGCAGCTAAGTAGGAAGTCTCTGTGTGTCCTAGGGCTTACCTGTAAGATAGCCTTCCTCCACAGTTACCCTGGCACCATGACACAATAGAGGCATTGTGAGTGCTTCCTGCTTCCTCCCACTGAGCTGAGTTCAGGCCTTTCCCAGGTGTTCACATCATAATGTGGATAGCTTCAGTTAGTCTTAGTAGCCACTACCACCTCCCCACTCCCCTCCCTTCCCTGGCCTAGCTCACTACTGGTATGAAAAGGGAGCCCCAGCACAACCCCCACAGCAGAAACTTCTCTGTCCAGACTGCCACTCACTGGAAGAAGCAGTATAGTTTATCCCAGTCTGTAGTCTCCTGAATATAATCAAATAATATCTCTCAGGTTGGCTGCAAGTCAGTTTTTCCATCTCCTGGCGCCCATGTATAGTCTCTCTTCCCCTTGGAGTTAAGTAGACAATACACAGACTCCTGCTTCACCAGGAGACCGTCATGATCCTGTGTGTGCCAGTGTCTTGGCCACAACGCTAGTCCGTCTGATCCTGCCCTGCTGCTCTTCACATAGGTGCTATGAGGTGGTCGCCTCGCTGTGCCTTCCCTGAGTTGTAAGAGCTTTGTTGACCAAGCCACAAGTGTGGATCAATAGAGTGCTTCTGCTTTTATTCCCTGCATTCCGATACACTGCTGGGGGGATTTTTGTTGCTGTTATTTTTTCCACTCTCCTGCACTCTGAGCAATATTGGGCCAGGTGAGGTCACAT